CACATCTTCGCACTATGACAGGTCCTGGAACACAGAAACACATTTGGGCGTCCGACAATTGTTGTCTTCCTGGACCTAAAAGCGGCATTTGACTCAGTGAATCATGAGGTTCTGCGGTAGTGTCTGTCATCGAAAGGTGTACCAAAGAAGTACATTAACCTTATACAAGCTCTCTACTCTAAAACTACAGGTCGGGTGAGAGCTTAAGGCGAACTGTCATCGGAATTCTTTACTTCAAGTGGTGTCCGTCAGGGAGGTCCACTTTCCCGATTCTTTCTCAATTTTCCTATAGACTTGCTCCTAGATGTAACCTTATCCGCGTTCGACTTTTCAGGAGTCGACTTTCTACCAGGAGGCTCGCTTATTGACTTAAATTATGCCGATGATATAGTCCTACTTGATGAAGACGCTGACAAAATGTAGAGTCTTCTTACTACCCTGAGCAACAATGCAAGCATGTTCGGGATGCGGTTCTCACACTTGAAGTGAAAAATAGTGCTTCAAGACTGACTTTCATAGGTTACTAAACTAGTGGTAGAAGTGAAATAGTTGAACGTGTAGACCACTTCACGTATCTGGGAAGTCTCATCAGTGTCGATGGCCTGGTGACTGACGAAATCTCAGCTCGAATACAGAAGGCTCGATTGGCTTTTGCCAACCTGCGTCACCTATGGCACATGCGAGATTTCCGTTTGCTAACCAAAGGACGAGTATACTGTTCGACAGTTCGCTCCGTCCTACTATACCGATGAGAAACATGGCCGTTAAAAGTAGACGACTTTCGTAGGTTACTGGTTTTCGATCATCGGTGTCTACGAAGCATTGCTCGTGTGTCCTGGGACAACCGTATAAGCAATACTATCGTTACGAAACGAGTTCTAGGTGGGGATGGCAAATTAGCAGATGAATTATTGAAACCTCATCAATTGAGGTGGTTGGAACATACTTTTATTATCGCTAGCACTCTTGGATTTGTACTGACAGTTGTCTCTGTGCAGATGTGGTATGGCAACCTGAACCGATGAACATATGTACGAAGTTCTGTCTGTCTGTATCGATCGACATCAACAACCATATCTGTATCGCTGCTCACATTTTCTGGACTTTGAAATATGGCTGTGTCATTAAAAGCAGATGAATTCGAGGTAACAGAAATAACAATGACCTCACCCGTCTGTCATAATAAAGGTAGATCTTGGTTTAAACATACGTCGGTTCCATTTTGTCGTACCAAACCACCATATTATCGAGATGAATCGCCTAGATGTAAACTGATTTATTTGGTGTATAATTACTGTCGATGGTGCTGTGCTTCGAAGATTGTCGGGTTATCCCCGACAATAGCATTACATAATGGTTAACACAATTGAAACAGCACTCTTCGCTGCCTTAACCACCCTAATGATCCAAGATAACTATCATTAGGAAGTAAACACGGTGACCACCTAGTTGCTAACTTACAAGTAACAGATCAGGATGGTTATAAACTATTAGAGATTGTATAGAGAATCAAATATCATTTGACGAGATAATTTGGTTATTAGTTCCAAGTGTTTAATCTCATAACTCCGCCAGTAGAACCTTCGGGTATACTGCACGTCCCAAGCGCGGATAAAGGAGGAGGGTTGGACATAAGGTTGACGACGCCATTCCAAGTAAAACTAACTTGCCAAAAGACGCTAACCAGAAAAAATAATTCAAACCATTTTAACTCTGCCCTGGGAGTTGGAAGAAGATCTATGACGTCGCGTGATAAAAGCCGAGTTCCCTCAAAAGTCACGGGGCCGATGCCTCTTCTGACAACCAGAGCAACCAATCTTTTCGGTACATGGAACGTTCGTACATTGTGGGAGACTGAAAGACTATTTCAAGTTGTGGCAGGAATAAAAAGATACAACCTCGAGGTGCTCGGCATCATTGAAACGCATTGGACACGAGTAGGACAACTGAGACTAGCTTCAGGGGAACTGCTGTTATACTCTGGTCATGAAGAGGAAAATGCTTCACATACACAAGGAGTTGCACTGATGCTGTCCAAACATGCACAAAAGGCACTGATAGGATGGGAATCTCATGGACCGAGGATCATTAAAGCATCCTTCAAAACAAAGAAAGAGGACATTACAATGAACGTCATCCAATGTTATGCACCTACCAATGACTACAATGACGACGTTAAAGATCAATTGTACGAAAGGCTGCAGTCAATCGTCGAGAAATGTTCACCAAAGTATTTGAAGATTCTTATGGGAGACCTGAATGCCAAGGTTGGAATGGACAACACTGGATATGAAGACATCATGAGACAACATGGACCGGGAGAAAGGAACGAAAACGGTGAGAGATTTGCAAACCTATGTGCCTTCAACAAACTGGTCATCAGTGGCACAATATTCCCCCACAAACGCATACACAAAGCTACATGGATTTCACCGGATCACACTACTCAAAACCAGATTGATCATATCTGTATCAACAAAACTTTCAGGACTATGGAGGTTGTGAGAACCAAGAGAGGAGTTGATATAGCCTCAGATCACCATTTGCTAATCGCCAAAATGAAACTGAAACTAAAGAAGCACTGGACAACGGGACAGACAACATCACACAAGTTTAATACGGCCTTTCTCCGGCATACTGTAAAGCTCAACGAATTCAGGATAGCCCTCACCAATAGGTTCCAGGCCTTTCAGGCTCTACACAATGGAGAGGACGCAACATTGGAGAACAATTGGAAAGGGATTAAGGAGGCAATCACTTCAACATGTCAGGAGGTCCTTGGTCGCAAGAAGCAGCATCACAAGGAATGGATCTCTGTTGATACTCGCAAAAATTGAAGAAAGGAGGAACAAGAAGGCAGCAATCAATGTCAGCCGAACAAGAGCAGAGAAAATTACCGCACAAGCTGCATACACAGAAGCAAACAGGGAAGTGAAGAAGAGCATCAGAGCTGACAAACGGAAATATGTGGAAGATCTAGCATTGACGGCGGAAAAGGCTGCAAGAGACGGAAACTTGAGACAATTGTACGAAACAACAAAGAAGCTCGCCGGGAACTATCGTAAACCAGAACGACCAGTGAAAAACAAGGAAGGCAAAGTAATCAGCAACACTGAACAACAGCGAAATAGGTGGGTAGAGCACTTTAAGGAACTCCTGAATCGACCAGCTCCTCTGAAGACACCCAACATCGAAGCAGCATCCACGAATCTCCCAATTGATATTGGCGCACCTACGATTGAGGAGATCAGTATGGCCATCAGACAAATCAAGAACGGCAAAGCAGCAGGGCCAGACAACATTCCAGCAGAGGCAATGAAAGCAGATGTAGAAGCAACTGCGAAAATACTTCACATCCTCTTCAAGAAGATTTGGGATGAGGAACAAGTACCATCAGATTTGAAAGAAGGATACCTGATCAAAATACCAAAGGAAGGCGATCTCAGCAATACCAGGTAAAGTTTTCAACAGGGTGTTATTAAACAGAATGAAGGACTGCGTAGACGCCCTACTTCGAGATCAACAGGCTGGATTTCGTAAGGATCGATCTTGTACTGACCAAATTGCTACATTACGGATCATTGTGGAACAATCAATTGAATGGAACTCACCACTCTACATCAACTTCATCGACTAAAAGAAAGCATTCGATAGCGTGGATTAGAAAACACTGTGTAGGCTACTTCGACACTACGGAGTGCCTGAGAAGATATTCAACATCATACGAAATTCTTATGATGGATTCAACTGCATAATCGTACACAGAGAACAGCTAACAGACTCTTTCGAGGTGATGACCAGGGTCAAGCAAGGTTGCTCATTCCCACCTTTTCTCTTCCTCTTGGTGATCGATTGGATTATGAAGACGTCAATATCTGGAGGGAAGCACGGTATTCAGTAGACAGCTAGGAAGCAGCGGAACTTCGCAGATGACCCGGCTCTTCTGTCGTACACGCAACAACAAATGCAAGCGAAGACGACCAGTGTAGCAGCAGGTCTCAGCATACATAAAGGAAAAGCAAAATTCTCCGATGCAACACAACATGCACCAACAAAATCAGTCTTGATGGAGATGCCTCGGAGGACTTTAACACCTTAACATCTCTGGGCAGCATCATTGACAATCAAGGTGAATCCGATGCAGATGTGAGGAGGCGGATTGGCAAAGCAAGGGCTGCATTTCTACAGTTGAAAAATATCTGGATCTACAAACATTTCAACCAACACGAAAATCAGGATTTTCAATACAAATGTCAAGACAGTTCTACTGTATGGAGTGGGAACCTGGAGAACCACAAAAGCCTTCATCCAGAAGATACAAGTATTTATTAACAGTTGTCTACGCAAAACACTGAGGATTCGTTGGCCAGACACGACCATCAACAACTTACCCTGACCGTGGTAGAACAATTTAAAATGCACTGCCAAGCTCCTAGAGAACGAATACGACAATATATCACGGAGTACCATGCATTCGAGGTAGAAGTGGTGAAACCAATAGAACAATGTCAGAGTGATGTTGGTCGGAAAACAACTTAGCCTTACGAAATACGTACTCACCGGACCAATAGGAATACCGATTAGCACTCAACAGTTTGACGAAGCATATCAGCAGCGACGTTCAGTTACAAAACTTCATGCCGTCAACACCAGGTCCAAAATGTTACAGACATAGAGGCAGATGTCATTTCACGGATGCTGACATCGTGAACTGGGGAGGACATACAGACTCCCGGAGGTAACCTACAGATGAATAGTTGTACACAACGCGAACCTCCCCCTCCAAAAATTCTCTGGCACATACACGATCGTCTGAGTTACTGGCGCACCGTAAACTTTCTGCGTGGATACCCTGGGAGCCGCGCACACGCATGATGGACGTGGACATCGTGCAGCGACACAGCGAGCAAACTTTCGAACAAAAGGAACAGCCGGCCCTACTTGCCCACCCAAACCCATTTAACCCATACAGTCACAACCGCAATCAAGAAATAAGATAGTTGTACATGCGGAATCAATCCGTAAATTTATTTTTCACAATGTTTCACAGCATGCATAATGTTTTAATCATACAGGCTTGCGAGTCCATTGCGTTCCACGCCACGGACGAGCATCAGTCCTCCAAAGGTCATCGGGAGATCTGCAAAACCACTCAAAAATTGTGAACAAAATGAATGGACACTGGTTTCGATCCTGCTACATGCCTTTTTGGACCCAAATTTACGAAACACTGCGCTATGGCACTACGAATTTTAATATTGCTCACTTTCTGGTACCTGACTTGGTGATAGGCACGCTTAACATAAAAGGGCTGAAAGACCTAGCAAGCCAACCTCGTCTTCCGCCCAACAAGCATCCATCTCCCTCATTACTACCAATTATAAAACTCACAACTCAGAAGACTAACTGGCTTAAATACTTTTATTTCCTTCAATACTAGTGACAAAGCTGGGTTAAAAAATGACGCTGCATGGGCTTATGCAATTATGATACGAAACTTTACACTTAAAGATGAAAGTCACTCTCGGTTGGGAGCTAGCTCACAATGGACATGACAGTTAAAAAGAACGCTCGATTGCACATGCAGTGAAAATTAACAGTTAACAGTATATACACAGTGAATAATAGGATCCCTGGCCTCCTCAGCTATAGACAGGCTGTCGACTTTCTGCTGGCTGACCTAGAACTTGAGGGCGCTAGGACAACTCTGTCTCCTCTGCTAGTAGAACTGCCTAGACCAAACTGTTGAGGCCATACTAACCCTGCAACGGATACGAAGAAGCAATTAGACGTTGAAAACATGCTCATACTAAGAAATTCTTACCTGTCTGAAGTTAACGACGACCATAGCCCCCTACATATAAAACAGATCAGTTTAAATAGAACGCGAACCCACCTCCATAGGGAGCATTCCTCTGGTAAGGCCCTGGTGGACCACCCCTCATTGGACCACCAGCATAGTTTTGTTGATTCCCGTAGTGTCCAAATCCGTCGCCCATGCCTCCCTGACCCCAGCCGGGACCATCTCCATTCATGTGGTTCGGACCCCAGCCGCCTCCATAATTTCCGCCACCGTAGGCACCACCACCGCCGTTTGAGCCATACCCACCATAAGGACCGCCTAAACATTAGAACTACTAGGCAAAGTATTTACCTCCGTAGGAACCACCGTAGCCTCCATCATACCCACCATAGCCTCCGCCCATCGGTCCATAGCCACCACCAGCGTAATTGTTGTTGTAGTCGTTTCGGGACTCCTGCTTCTTCTTCATTGTGTTGATCTGTTCCTTGCTGAGAGCCTTCTTCACGTCTGCTTTGCTGGAGCCAATATAGTGTGGTTTGTACAGTATGGCCTTATCAACAGGATCGTAATCATCAAATGTGACGAAGCCGAAACCCCGTGACTCCCCTGATTCTTTCCAAGAAACAACCTCACAATCGGTAATGTTACCAAACTTGCAGAAATATTCACGCAGTTCCTCATGAGTCACATCCTTTTTCAAGCCACCAACGAAAAGTTTTGTCACAGTCATGTGGGACTCAGGACTATTGGAGTCTTCACGTGGCATAGCTCTCTTGGCTTCAACTGTTTTGCCATCAATTTCATGTGGTCTATTAGACTGTGCAGCATCTACCATTTCAGGATCCTTGTAGGTGATAAAACCGAAGCCCCTGGAGCGGTTAGTACGACCATCTTTCATCACCACAACATCTACTATTTCTCCCCACTGGGAATAAAAGTCTTTCAGCTTGGTTTCCGTAGTAAGAGGAGTGAGTCCTCCAATGAACAGCTTGCGAAATTGTTCGGTACGACGATCATTATTCTCCGAGTTGCGCCTTCCCATCTTGTTAACCACGAAAACACACAATGAACTGACAGTATGGCAAACGGATGCAGTTCGCACAAGGTGATTAAAACAAAAATTACAAAACTGAAGTTACTCAATATGTGATTAGTATTTTCAAGAAGATTCTTTTAAGATATTTATCCTAATAAATGAACATCCTGGTGACTGTACCAAACAACGTTTAATAGGTTGACTGACAACTCAGTGTCAGTCTGACGTTCTTGAAAAAATTCAACACAAGTAAATGATGTATCCTGTGGGCAATAAAATAAACAGTTCACATGAGTACTTTAGAAAAGTGTGAAACTAATGTGTGTATAGCATTGAGTTTTCGTACGTAGAATATGGTCAATCGAGCAGTCAAGTAATAACTGCATTGTGGATGACACTCACTGTTGTACTGTAACTGAAAATAATTATACAATGCGAAGTCAGTATACATAGTTGTCTGTATTTTGACCAGATGCATCGAGTTTTCGTTGAATAGGTATTATTATAATGATCAGAGGAACAGAATAGTAATTGTGGAGACGAGATACGTTCAGTCATACTCCTCTATGCTCATTAAGACTTGCGTGGTTAAAGTCGTTGAAGAGAGGTGCGCTCGACCTTGTTTGTTGAGAAACCGTAGTAAGGCTTGAAGGAAATACTCATACATACGACTTTATATGCCGGACAAAGAATGACTCGAATACAAGGAACATGAATGTTTCTTTGAGAGACTAACTCTAAACTCAATGTTCTGATTTACAGTGAAGTTAGAATCGGTATCAGTTTCAGTAATCATGCAATGTTAAGAAGTAATGAATGAAGCGTGCAGTTAAATATGCGTGGACAATTAAGATGAAATTCCATAAACGTATGAACATTACGGCAGGGCTCATCGATAAATCAAGTGGCTGCAGATACGTCAAGAAAGTTCAGTCAAGATTATCGTGGGAAAAAGGGAGAACAAAGCTACATACAAAGTTTGTTATTACCATACGCGCGCGCTTCGAATTTGACGTAGCCTCGCTGACTTTCTTCCATTTACGGGAAACAATCCATTTTCGGGATACTTTATCACCCCCGAAGCCATAAAAAGTTGTCTCCATTCATTGGTCGACAATGTGAAAACATTTTCGAGCAAACGGAAGCATTCCAAGCTGCCTCATTCAACTGCTCTATTTCTAGTTGCTTCGGCAGCATACATACATTTACTCACTCACAAACATAGGACTTGTGGACAAGTTACTGGATACACGCAAAGTTACTTACCAAAGGTATAGTTGCAATTTTGGAGTACTTTCAGACTCTATTCCTCGTAGTTATATTATGTGCTACTAAATTCTTCTTTCCTAAATCCTTTTTTGTGTTTCCCGTATCCTAATTATCTAGGTTTTCACCCCCTAATCTCCCTGGTATCATGTTAAGTAATAAAGTCGCTAGTACATCTTACACTATAAAAACCAGGAAAACCTGTAGAGGCATAAACCCCGTGGTTAATAGTTCGTCAAAAATCCAATCTCGTGCGACCGGGTTGTTAAAAAACCCAAACCGTCAGTCGATAGTATCCCTCTCAGTGTCCATACTTTAGTTCAGTCAACGCAAACACCACAGAGGAAGCAAGACACCGCTGCTATTCCTAAAAAGACCAGTAGGCTAATTTAGAATAGGAGAAAAAGACGCTCCAAGGCTCAGTCGACACAGTTCAACGTCCAGAAACTGCATAAGGATGACTATTTTGCCTGCTCATTACCAGTCAAAATCAGCGACCGTGCTTTCGAATGGAGCTTCTGTAGTACATGTATACATTGTCACTGCGACACCACAGTACCTAAAGATTACTACGGATTCATGCTGAGTCACCCCTGCCCATGGTTCTGGTATATTTGCCCTCGGTATGGAGTATCTGAGGCATTGGCAAAGACACAGGTCCCACCCAAAATCAGCCCTAAAGTCCAAACGACCGAACCAAAGCGCCTGGAACTAAACCAGTAAAACAAGTGACCAAAGCTACCACAACCCTGCCTAACACACACCGACAAAACTCCCGGTTGTTGTTAACCCCCTAGTATCTGTTAGCAATAAAAAAACAGTGGGTGAACGTGAATAAGAGAAATAGCAACACCCCAACTCATAAGCGGCTACCACCCAAGAACAGGGACGACAGATTAAATTCACTTATATTATTTAATGTCTCAGTATCGGAAGGAAGCTTGCTAGAAGGTAGGGCTGCCTTTGACAAAGAGCAGTGGGATAAACACTGCGCAACCCTCCGAATGTGCAACGTTCCAGCCAAAATATGCCACCTTTTCAAGGGCCACAATGTCTCGAAAGGAAAACCCCCTCCAATGAGGGTAACTATTGACTCGGCACGACTTGCTGAAGACATCGCCCTTTCATCCCAAAGACCATCGGTCAAATTGTCCTCGCCAATTCGCATCAGGCATGACAAGCCGTGGTCAGTACAAGCGTCAGTGAGGACCACGCCAGGCACCAGGTTGCCTCGCCCGTCACACCTCACGTCCATCAAGTCAACCAGGAAGACCTGACTGAAGCACTTCAAGCTTGGTACATTTCGAGGAACGATCTGTCTAGCCACATCAGGCGTTGCGAAAACCGACCTAGATTTGTGAGACAACAGATGGGAGGCCACAATGAACACACAAAACCGACAGTTTACCTCGGTCAACAACACCTGGCACAGGACACGATTGAACTCATTGCACAGGTAAAAAACCTGCAGAGGACAGTTCCCGCAGAACTGGCCAATCAGGTTTGAATAACTTGTTTGAAATTCCGACAACGGCAGCTGCTGCAGAAGTGCACAAGGTGCTGAGACAAACCATCAAGTGCCTCTATAGCAACGTAAGAGGGCTGAGAGGTAAGTTGTTAGAAATCAGGAATATGTGCTCGCAGATGGATCTGAAGATCATAATCCTAACTGAAACATGGCTTTCCCCTGACATTGCAGACGCATAAGTGAGCTTGCCATGCATGACACTCTTCCGAAGCGATAGCGTACACCAAATTGTAGGCGGAGTGGCTATATATATAAACAGCCACTTAAAAGCCGAGCGGCTATACCACACCCAACTTAGCCTTACGAAATACGTACTCACCGGACCAATAGGAATACCGATTAGCACTCAACAGTTTGACGAAGCATATCAGCAGCGACGTTCAGTTACAAAACTTCATGCCGTCAACACCAGGTCCAAAATGTTACAGACATAGAGGCAGATGTCATTTCACGGATGCTGACATCGTGAACTGGGGAGGACATACAGACTCCCGGAAGTAACCTACAGATGAATAGTTGTACACAACGCGAACCTCCCCCTCCAAAAATTCTCTGGCACATACACGATCGTCTGAGTTACTGGCGCACCGTAAACTTTCTGCGTGGATACCCTGGGAGCCGCGCACACGCATGATGGACGTGGACATCGTGCAGCGACACAGCGAGCAAACTTTCGAACAAAAGGAACAGCCGGCCCTACTTGCCCACCCAAACCCATATAACCCATACAGTCACAACCGCAATCAAGAAATAAGATAGTTGTACATGCGGAATCAATCCGTAAATTTATTTTTCACAATGTTTCACAGCATGCATAATGTTTTAATCATACAGGCTTGCGAGTCCATTGCGTTCCACGCCACGGACGAGCATCAGTCCTCCAAAGGTCATCGGGAGATCTGCAAAACCACTCAAAAATTGTGAACAAAATGAATGGACACTGGTTTCGATCCTGCTACATGCCTTTTTGGACCCAAATTTACGAAACACTGCGCTATGGCACTACGAATTTTAATATTGCTCACTTTCTGGTACCTGACTTGGTGATAGGCACGCTTAACATAAAAGGGCTGAAAGACCTAGCAAGCCAACCTCGTCTTCCGCCCAACAAGCATCCATCTCCCTCATTACTACCAATTATAAAACTCACAACTCAGAAGACTAACTGGCTTAAATACTTTTATTTCCTTCAATACTAGTGACAAAGCTGGGTTAAAAAATGACGCTGCATGGGCTTATGCAATTATGATACGAAACTTTACACTTAAAGATGAAAGTCACTCTCGGTTGGGAGCTAGCTCACAATGGACATGACAGTTAAAAAGAACGCTCGATTGCACATGCAGTGAAAATTAACAGTTAACAGTATATACACAGTGAATAATAGGATCCCTGGCCTCCTCAGCTATAGACAGGCTGTCGACTTTCTGCTGGCTGACCTAGAACTTGAGGGCGCTAGGACAACTCTGTCTCCTCTGCTAGTAGAACTGCCTAGACCAAACTGTTGAGGCCATACTAACCCTGCAACGGATACGAAGAAGCAATTAGACGTTGAAAACATGCTCATACTAAGAAATTCTTACCTGTCTGAAGTTAACGACGACCATAGCCCCCTACATATAAAACAGATCAGTTTAAATAGAACGCGAACCCACCTCCATAGGGAGCATTCCTCTGGTAAGGCCCTGGTGGACCACCCCTCATTGGACCACCAGCATAGTTTTGTTGATTCCCGTAGTGTCCAAATCCGTCGCCCATGCCTCCCTGACCCCAGCCGGGACCATCTCCATTCATGTGGTTCGGACCCCAGCCGCCTCCATAATTTCCGCCACCGTAGGCACCACCACCGCCGTTTGAGCCATACCCACCATAAGGACCGCCTAAACATTAGAACTACTAGGCAAAGTATTTACCTCCGTAGGAACCACCGTAGCCTCCATCATACCCACCATAGCCTCCGCCCATCGGTCCATAGCCACCACCAGCGTAATTGTTGTTGTAGTCGTTTCGGGACTCCTGCTTCTTCTTCATTGTGTTGATCTGTTCCTTGCTGAGAGCCTTCTTCACGTCTGCTTTGCTGGAGCCAATATAGTGTGGTTTGTACAGTATGGCCTTATCAACAGGATCGTAATCATCAAATGTGACGAAGCCGAAACCCCGTGACTCCCCTGATTCTTTCCAAGAAACAACCTCACAATCGGTAATGTTACCAAACTTGCAGAAATATTCACGCAGTTCCTCATGAGTCACATCCTTTTTCAAGCCACCAACGAAAAGTTTTGTCACAGTC